ATAGGTACGTTTAAAACGTAGCCTCTAACTCACCCATATTCCCAGGGTAACCACTTTCTCTCCCACCTGGATCGGTTTGGCAACAAAAGCTGCACCAATAGTCTGTCAGGAAAAGGAGAGAACGGTAAAGCATTAGACACTCATTGGTGGAAATCCCTGTTGACTGTGGGAACTGTGAAATTTGACAGACAACATACTAAATGTACAATAAAGGATAAAATAGGTTAAGACTGATACTTGTGTGCTTACAGAGTACATAAAGTTGCTTTCTTTAAATGTGCTTTTTTATCCAACACGAAATCCTGCTGTTGGAGTAGTTTTAACTCGTATATTCTTATGTTTTAAGAAACATACCAAAATGTTAATATCCAGAGTGTTTAAATCAGAGCATTTACACTTGATGATGGTCATGGATGCCTCATTTACCACAATGTCCTCGGGGATGAATATAAAAATAATGCTTGTCATTTAGCGAGGGAATCAGCAACGCGCAGACATGGATATGGAAGCGGAGCAGCTGACACTCACGTTCTGATAGGGGCCGACCAAGAAGCGATGATGAACATATCTCTCCACCAAGCTGGTCTTCCCCACGCTCTCCTTTCCTAGCATCACTACTTTGGCATCCACGCGCATTGCAGTCATATTAACAGAGTCTGGAAAAGGTGAGACGAGGCCACAGCCAGTGGCGTTCAACCTATGAGTCTAGGTGGGCTGGTCAGTGTGCTGAGTGATGAAAAGACAGGATACACAACATCACAATAATATTAAAGTCATTAAAATAATTTGCATTTAGTTAGAAACATATGATAATTTGAAAACCAAACATTTTGACAGATGTGTACTCCATAATGCAAAACTGCTTGAAATAACCTCTCTGGTATTATTTACAAATATTTGACTTCCTCTAACTTTGTCAATCTGACAATTTGTTGTCTGCAGATATCTAATCTATTTTCATACTTTACACAAGAATCACTTCATAATTAAGTGATTACTTATTAAGTCTACAAAATGTTATATAGTGGCAAAGTGGCCATGACGGTATTTTCTTGTGTCTGAACAAAAATCCAAAACCTAATGATATTCAATTCGCAATGCTATAGAGAAAAAGAGGAAATCTAGGGAAATCTTTTTTTTCCTTGAAATGTCCATAACCTACAAACTATGACAAACAACTGATCAAGTGTCCCATTCTTTAACGTATTGCTGCCACTGCATATACCTACTTAAAGTTAACAAAAGCATGTTTACATCACTGGATTTGTGTAACTCCTGAAGTATTCACTTTATAAATTAGAATTGATATGTCTGACGTTTAAATGAATATAAGAAGAGTAGTAAAAGTTATATAAGCAGAGTTTACAGCTGATAAATAAGTAAATTATACGGAGGATGACAAATAAAATGTCTTTCATCAGTTTTGTTTGACTTTAATTAACAACACTGTTTTGTTCTATCTATCACACAATGGTACACCTCGTACCTTTGTATTTTCTACTCATAATATCACGAGAAACAAGCTTTTAAGTTTCTATGCTCTCTGCAGATTATTCAACTCCTTAATCTGAATCAGCTCCATGGAAACAAAAAGTGAAGTTTCATTAAATTACATGAAAACGCGAGTCGTTCAGTTAGCTCAACGTGACACGGCCACAAGCAGCAGCACTGCAGGAGATCTGGGAGCTAGCCTAGCTAACTTCAGCTGCGTACACAAATACTGGGAACTCACCTTGTAGCTAGCTTGACTCAACGGATCCTCAGCACCGGGAGCCGAACAAAATGGATCAGTCATCCGTGACTATCACTCTTGTTTTAAAGAGAAGACTGTCACCGACCCGCTCGTCATCTCTGCCCAGCTCAGCTAAAACAGTAAATAAAAGCCGGGCTGCTGTGTGTGTGTGTGTGTGTGTGTGTGTGTGTGTGTGTGTCCGGGCTCAGGCTGTACAGAGGCAGCGAGCTCAACCCAACCGACACAGTTGAGCAATGGTTGAAATCAAGAGCAAGTTAGATACGGTGACAGACAGAGACGCCAAACACCGTCTGTGGTTTACAGGGGCTCCATCTTCTGGAACTGTGTCCGGCTGACAGCAGACAGAGCTGCTAAGTGTTTCTGAGGAGACACAATGTCCAGCTGAGCTTTGTTTGTTTGTTTGGGTGGGAACCACAGAGGCGAGAGATGCGGTTTCCAGGAACAGGAAGTGTCCCAGTTGAATGACACAATTACCGGATGTTACATAGCCGCGTTGGTCGGTATCAGAGAGGTTAGGATCATAGACCAGAATGAGATAACCAGGACAGGGGGCTTCGAATAACTCGAGTTTACTTTACACAGTTAATCACTATGTTAAACATGCAGGAGGCAGTACTGTAATAAGACTGGGAGAGAACAGAACATTTGTTCACAGCTCAGAAAAATCGAAATGATGCAGAGAAAGTACTCACAGCACAAACCCCAGGATGTACACATGAGAGGGCTGCAACAGGGGATGACTTGGATTTATCATTCAGGATATTTTTCAATTGAAGAGAAACAGTTCTAACGCTCGACAGACTTTTCGAGGTAAAGATGAAGTGTGCTACAGGATGTTAGATCAGAAGAGTGATAGCACACTTAATGTAGTGTTACGAATATTTAGTAAAACATGTGATACAGGCATAATCCCAACCAGTTGGAAGCAGTCAGTTATAGTTTCAATACTTAATCCAGGAAAAGATCCAGTATTATCTAGATAGATAGATAGATAGATAGATAGATGGATAGACCACCAGGTTGTGAGAGAGAACTTACAATTGTAGAGGAAGCAAAAGTCTGCTTTCAAAAATGGAAGAAAGAAAGATGTTTTAGCCCTTGTCTTGACATGCTTGACCTTATTTGGCCCTTACACAAAGTATTTGATGAATGCTTCTCTAGAGAATCATATCAGATTGGAGTTGCCAGCAAAAGATACAAGCTGTAAACTCAGAGCAGAAAGATGGAGGAGTGGTTGATCAGCCAAATGGATTGTTTGTTTAGAAGACTAAATGCCATTGACTATATAAAGGTATACACTGGGCTATGTGCGGTCTCTGTCTTTAAAGGGGCTTGCCTGTTGGTAAACTAACAAAGATCAAGCGACCATATAAAAAGGAGGAAATGATGGAGACAAAAATGAAGCGTAAGAGGCAAAGGAATGAGAAGGGAGAAGGAATTTAGAAAATGAGTAAGGAGAAAGAAATGTAAATGAAAAAGAGAAGAAAGCTGTGTTAGACTAGTTTAATCTAGGTGCTCCAAATCGACTGACAACAAATAATAATTAACTTTATTTATATAGCGCTTTTTAAATATAGAATTTAGAAAGTGCTTTGATATTAAAGCAAGAAAAGTACATATAAGAGAAATAATGAACAGGATGCAATGTGACAAGGGAACAGTAATCCACAGTTCCACACACATCCACAAGGTAGAGTTACATGGATAAATGTAGAGCTGTGTCACATGAAAACTTGAACACATAAAAGCATTAATATGACAATGAAAATAAATGAACAACATCACATGAAAGCAAGTCGATAAAAATGGGTTTTAAGAAGTGATTTAAAAGTCACACTAAAAGAAATAGTCGATCAACAAAAAAAAGAAAAGAAAACATTTTAATAAACGATTGTCTAAGTTGTTTCAGTTATTTGTATTCTTGGACTAATCACATAATCAGTGAACCATAATAATAATGGACATATTAAACAATAATGACACTTGTAAAAGAGCAGCACTGAAGTATAGACATAATACAGATGTAGAGTTGTGAATATATGAATATATAAGTATTACAGACTTTCTAATAAATACTTCAGTAACTAGCTCGCAGTGAGAAGAGCCTGATTGGTCTAAAGAGTTCACCGTTGGCCCTGAGGCTGCAGCGGGGATTGGTGCAGGATCCGTGAGATCCACCCCGACACTCACACGGTGCACACAGAGGCGCCGCTGCACAGAGGAACTAAAATGGCTGAACCAGAGGGAAGCGAGCTAACTTCAGCTGGCATTTTCCAGGAGATCTTCACCTCCCCGCTGAACCTGACCCTGCTCAGCCTCTGCTTGTTCCTGCTCTACAAGATCTTCCGCGGGGACAAAGCGCCGGATGTCGGGGAGGTGGAGCAGCCGCTGCCGAAGCTGAAGAAGAGGGACTTCACCCTGGCGGAGCTGAAGCCCTACGATGGGCTGCAGGACCCGAGGATCCTCATGGCCGTCAACGGAAAAGTGTTCGACGTGACGCGGGGGAAGAAGTTTTACGGGCCAGGTGAGAGGTTAGCAGCTGTTCCGGGGTGACCTACGCAACGGCAAGCTCGCGGGAGGCGGGGTTGTTGCGTGACATTTTGCGTGAGACTTAATTGAGAATACGATCAGACGTGTTTTAGTTGACTTTTGTGACTGGACGCTGACGCCACACCCCCCTCCAGCAGATCGCGTTTCACAACACATGCACCACTGGAGCCTTGAAGCCGCAGATCGTCTATGCGAGAGGATGGGTCACTCCGGAGGAAAGGGAAAATTATAACAATTTAGCCGTCGCCATGTTTTCAAAGGTGCAGTCAGAAAGTGAGCTATGGTCGTGGCCTATTTTTTAAGTGCATGAAATATCGCGATGTGATTCGCTCTGAACCAGAAACTGTATAGAAAGGTGACACGACAGCTTCCAAAAGTGAAGCCACAAAATCTCGATTGCCCCCTGGTGGCTGACTGCAGTGTAGATCATAAACACAGCCTCAATGTTAGCAGATGGGACACAGACCAAACTAAGAAAGTTACATACACATCCAGTATTTTTAAGTCTTGAAGTCTATTTTTTCTCGGATAACTTGATCATCAGAGACTGACTTGGGTGAATGGGAGAGACCTTTATTTCGCTTTTACAGATTCTGGCTCCACATGACATCACCGAGATGGCAACGCAGTGGGAGGAAGTACAGATGCATCATCCATCTTTATGTAGAACATTATGTTATGTTCTATACGTGGTAGACTAGGTTTTCTGTGTTCTCGAAAAAGCGATCAATGTTGGGTATCAACCGTATTTCTTACCGTTCTACCCTATTTGATATGAATAGTTTGGTGTCCAGAAGGTTGAGGATGAGGCAGAGGTACTGCGGTCAAAAAATAGTAATACTTCTCAAAGTCGTGACTCAGCAAATCTGAAGACACAGGCATGAAACATATGTTAACATTCCACTGAGATAGAATTGTTTCTGGTGTCAATTTAAAAAAACTGCGTTTCCCTCCTTAGAAAACAAAAGAAAAGACATATTAGAGCTTGCCTCAGAATGCTCTGGTTTTAAGTTTTCTTCATTTTTAAAATAAGCCAGTGTTGCATCCAGTAGTTAATCAATCAGGGGGGTTTTGCCATTTTTCCACTGTCAGAAGTTCTCTGAAATAACAAACCTTTCTGTCGTGCTTCATTTCTGTTCACTGGAAAGAGACACAGAGTTAGACCTCTCTGTTACTACCTTATCTCAGCTTGTAACCTCTGTTATGCGTGACCTCTGACCAACATGATAGCTCACAATCCTGTAAATTTGTCAGTGTACTGCACACCCACTGAAATGCTGCATCTGCTTGCTGGGGGGAGGCACTGTAGTTCTAAGCATATGTTGTTCAAACAGGCGTTGACTGTCTTGTGTGTCTTGCAGAGGGACCGTATGGTGTGTTTGCTGGCAGAGATGCTTCCAGAGGTCTGGCTACATTCTGCCTGGAGAAGGACGCCCTGAAGGATGAACATGACGACCTATCTGATCTGAACGCCATGCAGCAGGAGAGCCTCTCTGAGTGGGAGGCTCAGTTCACATGTGAGTAGAGATCTTCACATTTTCATATTAGAAATAAGCAAGTTTCAGAAGCGACATGCAGATGACTTCTGAGAATTTGGGGAAGACTTAACCAGCAGTTTGCTTTTCACACATACGTAAGATGTGTGTGACACTGCTTGTTCAGGAGATATTTTTTTCGTTTTTGTTTTTTTTTTCACTTTTGCGTCTGTTGCTTGTTAGAAGCGTCATGAACCCCCCAACTCGCTCACTGTGAATCCAGCGAAAAAAATCATGGTGTATATATATGATATATAATTTATATAACTGCCTTATGAAGCGCTTCATAGTGCAATCGAATAAATGATTATTATGATTAATATTTGCTTATTTTCTTTATTCTTCACCATTCCAGTTAAGTATGACTACATCGGCAAGCTTCTGAAACCGGGAGAGGACCCCTCAGAGTACACAGACGACGAGGAAGGAAAAGACAAGAAGTCGGACTAGAACAAAAAAATGTGACCAAGTGGGAAAGATGATAGATGCCTTAATGTTTGAATTCAATGCTGGTTGCTTCCTGTTGGGGCCATTCAGAGAGAACTCCATCTTCTTTGATATGCATTCTAGTGTTTATGGATCATGACAATCCTGGATTTGATATGCCGGCTCCATTCATCTCCATGTAAAGTTATGTGAAGGTTTGATGGCATAAGTGGTTAAGTATACGGCTTTCTGATGAAGATATGAGCACGCTGTCAGAGCTCAGATTAGGTAATGTAAATATGAAGCTGCTGATGGTTAAATGTTTGGCAGGTTGAAGTTAGTTAGTCTCAAGTAAGAGATCTGCTTTGTTCGGCTCGCATCAATATCAGCCCTTCACATCAGTTTCATCATCCCACATCCACAGCTTTGGCGTACACTTTAATATGGCTGCGGTTTTGTTGCAATTTGTACACATTCCTTACATCCTGTCATTCATCTGGCTCAGTTTGCTTGGAAATTAATGATCTCAGGAGGTATTTTGATTCAACATTAGGGCAAATATGAATGCAGATATTATGGTTTATTCTCTATTTGTGTCTAATCTGAGTATAGTCATGCTAACTTTGCCATTGCCACTTCTGTAGAGATATAGGGAATTACAAATTTGAAACAAAAATACAGAAAACAAAGTTTATCAGATCAAGCAGCACAAGCTCCTTAAAACTTACCGAATAAACTTTTGTTTCACAGAATTAATTTCAAACGCTGATTTCTGTTGAGAACATTTCTAAACTAAACCTGACATTTCATTCTGTGAGTTTAGTGTTTCTCACAGTGACAACCCAGGTTGTTAGTCTTGGATTTTGAACTCCCCATTGGGCAATGAAAGTAACGTGCAATGATTTTGTCAAAATAAAAATCATCCACAGAATTGGCTTCAGTAAGGTGACAAGATAGTTTCTGAAGATAATTAGATAACAGATAAAACTGTTATCGATAATCACATCTTTTTTCAGCAATATGTTAAAGTGCTAGCTGGAGTTCAAGGCTGCAAAAAATAGAACAGCCTGTTGCCACTTTCCATTCAAACAAATTCAATGAGGGAACATCTACACTATGTATGTACATACATAAAGTACTATACTGTCAGACTGTTATAATCCTGACTGATGTTTTTGGTTTAATAAAGAAAAGTACAAAAGGAGGGCGAGCCTGTCTGTTTATTTAAGCGCTTTACAAAAGTTTTATTGACTTTGTTACAACTGAAAATGATTCTGATGCAAATGACTTCCTGAATCCACACATAATAATCTGTCCAAACAGAAAGAGTTAAGATATTACAGTTGGTTTAAAAGCAGACAAAGGATTACAAACTATATCTGAAGTTGCATCTTGACTTTCCTTAAAAAGAGATTTTAAATGTTGAGATAATGTATTCAAATATTACACTACACGGTAGAAATACTCTTTCAGGCACAGTTTGAAAAATAAGTAGCAGTACGCTTGTGTTTCCATAATATAAAACTTGAACAACTGCAGACAAATGACACATTACACTTGGACCCAACAGTTGTTGGAAAGTAGTCAAAAAAAATACAATAAACAGTAACTGAAATGTAACAAAACAAGCAGAAATACTTGTTTGGTGGTATTAGTTAAAGATCGCAAATTGCAAATGTAAATGACATGTTTGTCAATATGACATTTAAGCAGTGCCTCTGTAAATCCAATGAACAGATTGGAATCACTGAAAATTTAAGTGTGTGGTCACACACATATTTGATTTAAAAAAGTAACCTGTTTGTCAAAGCATTTATTCATTTGTATTGATTTTGAACATGTAAATATAAAAATAAATAATACAAACAAGTGGGGAAAAACATAAAAAATATATAATTATAATAGTATTATTACTAAAAATTACTACTAATAATATATTATTTGTATTAAGTATTATTTATAAACAGTGTTGAGGAAAAAGTTATGAGACGCTGAATGATTTAATCTACATATTCGAAAAGAAGAGAGATGAAGTAAAGTAAATCAGTGGAAATAATTCACACATATTATTTGAATCGTTACAGACTGATAACCTCTGTACCATATATATATATATAATAGTATAATATATTATTAATTGGATAAGCACTGATTGATGAGTTTTATCTTTACTTTAACATGAGGAATCTAAAATAAAAAAGATGTGTCAGAAGTGGGATTCGAACCCACGCCTCCATTCGGAGACCAGAAGTCCCGTCTCTGCGGAAGGAGATGATCCTTGAGTCTGGCGCCTTAGACCACTCGGCCATCCTGACACGGCGTTCAATTCAGGAGCGTCAGTGCTCCTTATGCTTCACTCTCTACATCCCATGACACACACTAATTATAATTCGCAACATATAAATAATTACTGCTTCTTCTGCGTGTGTATTTTACTGCCCTGCGTTTCGGTGTAGCTCGCCCACACTCTCGCATTTTTACGCGTAAATGCAATCGTCACATCCGCTGTGTGTGTGTGTACGTGCGGCGGCCATATTGGACTTCCGCTCTTCAAGGGTATCTGAAGACACCAGGCGAGACAAACATGTACCGGTTCACTAAAGCTGCGGTCAACGCTACCGGTGAGTGAAGCGGTGCTTTGTAGAAATATATTCCGAGTGTACGTGTGGAGGTCAGGCGGTAGATTACTGTTGTTCTGCTGCAAGGTTAAACGATCTCTGTTCGATCCGTGACCGCGGCCGGCGTGCTACCTACTGCTAACTTAGCCAGCTAACGTTAGCATCTCCCCTTTAGAAGTCGTTATACGTCCCAGTAAAGAGATTTGTGTTATGAAATCACGTAAATTATCTCCCACATTTAAGATACGTGTTAATGTTCAATTAGTCTTTCTGTTTTGATGTTCATCTTCGAGATGTCATTGTCCGAGACATTGACCTGTACAACTTATATTAATGATGAGCTAAGTTGTTGCTCATATTTTCCTTCTCGAGTAGTAGACTCTGCTTTAACTGTTACTGAAGTTCAGGTGAGGCCTGGGAAATAGGAGGGTCAGATAAAGGAAGGACAATATTCCCAGTTTGGTAAATAATCCAGAAGCTATTTTGAAGGGATTTGGTCTCACGATGACTCTTATCCTGCAGTATAATCGTAATTAAAAACAAAGATCTAATATGTTAATTTAAATGATACAGTTGTTTATTGCCCTGAGTCGACTTTACATTTTATGGAAAAGCAATGTGAGGATTATTTTCATTACCTGTTAACTTCCTGATTATTGTGTCAGTTTGTCTTTCAATCTAATAAAATATCAGATAGTTGTAAACATTTTTTACAAATTTCCAAAACCCAATTTGACGTCCTCAGATGTGTTTTATTGACTGACAGTGCACAGGTTTCACTTCACAGCGATTTAAAACAGAGGCAATGTGCTAAAGTTTAGTAAACTATTTTGAAAACTGCTATCATTATAGTTGCAGTTTAGATTAATGTTCTATTGAAATTGTCCACAAAGATATTGGAAGTATGACTTTTAAAGACATACTCCTCAACCCAGATTTGTTTTGTTGATTCATCCACAAATGTATTTGCTGTTGATATGCAAGTGGTTAAGTGTAAAAAAAAAGGTAATGCAAGGTCATGCTGTGTCATCATAATACATCCTGAATTCATCTGACATTTGGTTAATAGAAGATGATACACATGTCTGCAACTGATGAGTTTCACAATAAATTAATCTATGGATTAGAAATTGTAAAATTTTGGAAATGAAAGAAAATGACTGAGAAAATGGCCATCCGAGCTTTTTAAGGTCAAACGTGACATCAGATATCCTGTTCTAACCAATGGCTTAAATCCAAACATACCATTTTCAATATTGTGAAAGGCAGCAAATTCTTTTCTCCGAGAAACTGGAACGAGATCATGTTGGAGTTTTTGTTCAAATAAAGATTTGAGTAATAATTAGATTATCGTGGCTGATTGTTTTTCTGTTAATCATCTAATTGATTTATTGACTGATCAGTTCAGCTGTTCAGACATCCTCATTAGAATATCCAGCATCATTTATTTCAGCTCCTTTTATTTTCCACCTTTGAGCTTCATATAATCCATAGTTGTATAGAGTCTTCATAAAGGAAGTGTTTATATACTTGAAAGTTTGAATTCATAATATTAAGTTAGTACTAGTGCAGTGTATATATGCTTGTCATCACCATGAAGGCTGTGTTTTGTTGTCATCCAGGTCAGGCGGTGCGACAGGTGAGACATGGATCCACCGTCCGCCAGGACTTCCACTCCAAGTACGGCAATGGCCTGATGCTCGGTGGAGCTGTCTTCTGCACGACTGTGTGGTCATATGTAAGTAGTTCTGTCGTGTAGGTCCACATCAGGTTTATATATATAAGCATGACCTTAACTGACAGCTTGCTCACATAGTGGTTTATGGAGCAACCTGAGTGAAGGTAAAATGGGGGTTGCATTTACAAAGGATAAATAAATGCTCGAGTCATACTTAGTGAAGTTAAGTTTAACCAGAAGGTCGCATTTAAATTGAATAACTGTGGACCGTGCATTTATCTGTTTTACCCTGTTGTTTTATAGAGTTCTTATTTTGGTAGTTTTTGATAAATTGATTAAAAACCCAACTGTCATAACCACTGGAGGGCGATCTGAGCTTGTTTATTGTCATGTTACATAGCCCATTTGACCTAATATAACAAAGATGCATGTTGGAGAAAATATTTATGTGTCTGTCTGTGTATTGTTTCAGTTTGTAAGCATTTAAAAATACTGATTCTTAAATATTTGGCTTAAATTTTATATTAACAAGAGTTTTAAGTTTGTGAGCAATACTGTTATCTATCAGCAAACTGATCAAAGTAAAAAAAAAAAAGCTATGTTTTTGATTCATTTCTGTGTTTCTTGTTTTTGTGCAGGTGCTGACTCAGACTGGCATCACCTGGAATCTGTCACCAGTCGGAAAGGTCATGCCCAAAGAATGGAGAGAGGCTGAGGAATAACGAGCCACTGATTTTTGTGTCACCTAATAAACCCTCTGGTTGTACAGATGAATAATTAATATCTGTGTTCAGACAGTGAATGCCTGCTGTGCTTATTCCAACATGTTACTATGTTCAAATAAATTAAATGTGATTATACTGACTGATTGTTCCTTATTTTTTAAGCACAGAATAGCAACTTGACCATAATCAATTTGGGAAAACTCCTTAAACATGTTCATGATAATAACTTATGATATTAATATTTTAATGATTTGAATACTTTAACCACCAATTTAAAATGCATATATTACAGGGATCAAGATATTGGAATCTGTCACAATTTACAAGCTAAAACCGAAAAATGTACTTTAATTCGTTGAAGTGTGTTAGCTAAGAGCCTTTCAGATTTTTTATTCTTAACTAATTTTCTCCAAAATCAAACAGCATAACTAGCAACTATCCCAGAAAACAATTTACATGATTTGTGTATTTGATTTTGATTTATTTGCAGTCAATGTGTTTCCACTTCCTTGCTGCAGTTATGTAGAATAAAATATAGATTAAAGATACACATGACTATAATAATATAATTCAGCATAAAACTGAATTAAACTGTTCAAAGATCCAATAATTCCACATCCATGTAAAATGAGGGTGGGGACAGCAGCGGAACACCCGCCTACGTCAGATAACAGACAGCCACTGAATCCAATCAAATGTACTGCCCTCCCTGCGCTGCAGCCAATCACGTTACGGGGGAGTGTTCTCTGCCCCGCCCCGCCGGTGTCCCTCCGCGCTGCGCTAAGGTCAGAGGTGTCATTCGGTGTTTTACCCACAAGCAGCCGAAGGAAGCGGAGGAGACTCAGCGAGGAAGGTGCAAGAACCAAGCGACTACAGCAACAACAACATGTCTCTGTCCAACAAACTCACCCTGAACAAGGTGGACGTGAAGGGGAAGCGCGTCATTATGAGGTGAGCGTCTCTGGTCTGTCTGTTAGCTTCTGCTACCGCCGCGGCTAATGGGATAATGTGAGTGATATTTCACCGCCTACACGTTTCCTACCTGAAGTAACTAACTAGATCTGTGGTGAAGAACCTACACGGATGATCCACGATGTGCGGATCAGTTCAGACAATTCAACCTAGAACAGGAAGTGAACTTGTGGGTTGTCACGTCTTCCAGCCATGTTACGTGCCTGTGAGGAGATGCTGCATGGATGCAACCATCACTGCATCCAGCGGGAATCAAACCAGTGACGTTAGACCACTGCTTCTCAAACCGTCTAATTAAACTGTCTATTAAACTAACATCACTGCACACAGTGAGAGTCAGGCTTACATTAAACTAACATCACTGCA